ACACAAAGCTGCTCTCTGAAAACTAGGGTGGAAGCAGACGGGGCGAGGGAACTGTAAACATTTGGGGGAAATAATCCCACAAGTAATGACAGGCTCCCACGTCAGACTGATTTGCCAGTGCCCACCTGTTCTCATCCCCCTTTAGGGAAACCAACACCAGAAGTCAGAAGGCGACGCTGGCACATCATGTTGTGGTTGATGCAAGAAAGCTGGCCCAGAACTCCCATCAGCACACGTGCGCAGACAAAAGGCTTTGGCCCTATCCCCAAAGACAGCCAAACAAACGCACTTGGAATATTTTAAGTAAAAACACAATGTTTAAAGAACGTATATGTTAAGTAGGATTCCCCAGTTATCCAATGTACCCAATTAACTCTACAATCACAGATGCTGCAGAGCATTGACCCAACCCAGCCCATCCTCTACTGCCACGGGAAATGGCCCCCTCTCCACGGGCTGGACCAGCTCCAAGCCTGGTCCTTGCCATTGACACCCCCTCCCCCATTGCCTGTCCCCTCCTTCAGGTATTCACAAGAATGGGATCAAAGTCATACTCGCTGGATTCCAATGCTGGTTCCAGCACTTGGTAGCTGTGTGACCTTAGGGAAGTTGCCTAACCTCTCTGAATCCCAGCCTCCTCATCTGTAAAATGGGAAGTTGTACATAAGCTACATATCAATGAGCACTCAGCAAATGTCCATTATTTTTATGGTCGTGGAGGTTGCTACCATTACAGATGCTGTTACAGCCCCCTGCCCCCACCCCAGTATCTCTGAAATATGTCCCCACTTGTCCACCCCACTCCCAGCCCTGTGACCTCTCACCTTCCACCACGAAGTCGACCCCATCTTCCTCACGTCTGGGCTTTTCCACACAACACCAAATTAATGACCCAAAGCCCTGCTCCCACCAGGCATCTCCCCCCTCTGAAAATGTCCGAGATGGAGGCCCGCCCATCAGGAGGGAGAGGTGTTGTCTTCTGTATTCTCCTCCACGCCCCAGACAGGAGCCGGGCCCCACAGGGCACCAGCACAGCCGCCCAGCCCAGAACGGGCTGATTCTACTCCTGCTTGGCCACCAAGTTCAACAACGAACACAGGGAGCTATGCCCGGTGGTGGTCAGCGTACCCCCTCCAGCCCCTTCCTCTGCACCGCTCAGCGGCCTCCTGATGTTCCACCTCTGCAGCCCTGGGCCTGTCCGTACACCAACAGGTCCCCAGGCAGCAGATTGTGCAGCCCTCAGGGGCCCAGGACTGCCGCTGGCTCTCCATCTGTCTGCCCGAGAGCTGACAAGAGCAGGTTTACAAAGGCGGAGGACGGGGGAGGGGGCCGGTCAGGGCAGGAGGGCTGGGCCAGGGGTTCAGTCTGACAGCTGAGGTTCGGGGAGCAGGACAGGGCAGAGGGTGGCAGAGCAGAGTCCAGCCTGGGGCCCATGGAAGTGAAGTCAGAGGTCGGCCTCTGTCATGGATTGAATTATATCTCAAAAAAAATGTGTATCAGTTTGGCTGGGCCTGATTCCTGGTATTGTGTGATTTTCCTGTTATGTTGTAAATCCTGCCTCTATGATGTTAATGAGGGAGGATGGGTGGCAGTTGTGTTAGTAAGGCAGGACTCAATCTACAAGATTGGATTGTGTCCTGAGGCAATCTCTTGAGATATAAAAGAGACAAGTGAGCAGAGAGACAGGGGGACCTCATACTACCAAGAAAGCAGTGCCGGGAGCAAAGCACCTCCTTTGAACCCGGGGTCCTTGCGTGGAGAAGCTCCTAGTCCGGGCGAACATTGATGAGAAGGCCAACAGAGAGAGAACGCCTTCCCCTGGAGCTGACACCCTGAATTTGGACTTTCAGCCTACTTTACTGTGAAGAAATAAATTTCTCTTTGTTAAAGCCATCCACTTGTATTTCTGTTGTAGCAGCACTAGATGACTAAGACAGCCTCCAAGGCCGTCACACGAGGCTGGAGGGTCCTGGCCCCCAGGGTGCTTCTGGGGATCCGAGAACATTCTCTTGTTGAGCACATTTCAGCTGAACTTCAGAAACTCAAAACTGTCCGTGTGGCAGAGGTGGATCTCCTGGGGACCTGAGAAACTTACCGCACAAGAAAATAACTTTTAAGGGCTCAAAATCACTTCTACCCAGAGCTGGAGAAATGGTTCTATATGAGAGGGTGCTCTTGGCTCATGGTGAAGCAAGATGCTCTCCCGTGAGGAAAATGACACAAGAGTGATTTGTGACTTGAATTTGGCAGAAAGGTGCATCTTTTGCCCTGCCTCACCTCCCTCACCCCCGCCATGCTAATCACAGGACCCGAACGGACTCCTCCAGAAGCTCGGCCTTCTGCTGGGCAGCCTGTCTGCCCCCTCAGACCTGCTGGGGCCAAGCAGCGGAGCTGCAAGAGGCCAGTGGCCCACTCCATCCCTTGGTGGCCCAGCCAGCTCCCTGGAAAATCCTCCTGGGGGCGGCTGAATGCTGGCCTTCGAAGACGTCCGAGTCCTAATCTCCAAACCTGTATGTCACCTTACATGCAAAAGGGAGTTTGCAGATGTGATCTGGCGATGGTGGTCCCACTGTCATCACAGAGTCCTTATAAGAGGGAGCCTGAGAAACAGATGTGGCCACAGAAGCAGAGAGAAGCACAGTCAATCTGAAGATGCTACATCTGGAAGATGGAGGAAGGGGCCACAAATCAAGGAATGTGGGTGGCCTCTAGAAGCTGGATGAGTCATGAGAATGGATTCTCCCCTAGAGCCTCCAGAAAGAACCAGCCCTGCCCACACCTCGATCTTAGCCCTACGAGACTGATTTTGACCTCTAGAACCGTAAGACAATAATTTTGTATTGCTTTAAACCACTAAATCCCACCCTCCCAAAAAACCCAAACCTGTTGCCATTGAGTCAATTCCAACTCACAGTGACCCCATGTGTTACAGCAGAGTAGAACTGCCCCATAGGGTTTTCTTGGCTGTACGCTTTATGGGAGCAGATCGCCAGGTCTTTCTTCTGTGGCACTGCTGGGCGGGTTCAAACTGCCAACCTTTTGGTTAGTGGCCAACGGCAAACTGTATCACCCAGAGGCTCTTTAAGCCATTAGGTTTGTGATCATTGTTACAGCA